CGTTTATTGTTCAGCTCAGAGAGTCCAACAGTATTAGGTTGAATAGCAACATAACACACATTAAATAAGTTGACCATCAAGAACAGTATAGACGTCTGTTAACTCTTAGACCCAATTTCATCTAAATATATCACAGTAACGGGATTTAAAATATGTTTAAAATAGAACTTAATACCGTTCGTCGGACATTTTAAATGTTGCTATGTTATTGAGGGATGATGACTTTACTGACAAACAAGGCAATAAATAGGAACTTTATAAAAAGAATTTTAAGAAAGAATATATCCATTTGTTTGCCCAAAAAGCTATTTGTTGTTTTACAGTTCATTGTACAAATGAAATATGCAAAGAAAGTATTGTACGTGAATTTAACTACCAGGCATTTTCGTCAAATCCTATTTCTATCTCGTTCAAATAATTTTACTGAATTTCCTCGTACATTTTCCACTAATCTGTAAAAATAGTACTGTAAGTTCTATTTCTACAAACATATTTCGAGTGAGACCAGTTAATAAAAATATCGATCTTCTATCTTTTTTGCCATTAACATCCAAAATGTTGTTTGCATTGTAAAAATGTGTATATCATATAAATATCTCGTGAACAATTCAAATCAAGTTTGTGTATCAACTACAAAAACCTGTTATATACCTAGTGAATGCACGTATCTACTATACAAGTATATCTTTATCAATTCAGTTAATAGACATAAATAAAACAATGTGATTGCTTCAGCAATCTAGCGCCCTTCTCCTCATCGGGGATGATGTATCACAATTTTTACACAAACACATTCTGTATCAAAGCCATTGTTATGCACAGAGTTCACAATATGGCCATTGTACTTTGTTTCGTCAGCTGTGTCAGAGTTTTTAAGGGATGATAGATCAGGTGACACACTTAGCACATTCAATAACACCTTATACATACAAGTATCGATTTCTCGTTTGGTTGTTTAAAAATTTAAAAGTAAAAATTAATTGTATGATTTGGATATGTGTCATGATTGTGGACTTTCTCAGATGTTTTAATTTTTAAAACTACTGTATATATACTCAAAGCAGTGTTACCATTATCTCTATTATTTTATTAACCTGCGATATGAATACACTTTTAACCTGGATACAATTTTATGATTAGTGTAGAATAAATTATTTTTACAGCTTTTTAGGTTGTACACTTTACAGTAAATTAAATTAAATTAAAACTTCTGCAAAGTTAGGACCACATGTCTCTTTCATACACTTAACCTGACATAGCCTACATATATACAAGAAAAAAAAAAATACAATGAGATAACTTAATGTAATGAACATCTACTTATTCAACTATTGATGTACAATACTTAGAAGAAAAAAAATAACGATGACATTTTAACACACAAAATACACATTTACAGGCCGTTCCACAGATAGCAAGCGGTAACAACAAAAGACCTGTCGTAAGCTATGGTCACATGTATTGCATAGAGATTGTATTAAGATGGATAGGTGATTTTGTAAAGGTACTGCTGCGTTACAATCACAAAATATGTCATGTTTGGAGAAGGTCGGCGTTGAGAATAATATTGCTCTTTTTCACAGACCGTAGCTTTAGCAATATTCCCGCTACACAGAATTCATATCAGGCTGTTGGCATTCTTGTTTATGTTTATGGTTATTTTAACTCCAATGTTGCTTGTATTTGCTGTGGCCATCTGGCCAAAGTACTCCATTGGGTGGACTGGGTCGTGTATACGAGTATTTTGTTACTGAACAGCAAGTAGAAGATTGTGAATAATGGTTTTAACTGCTTGGGTCTTGTTTAATGTATGCCTTGAAACTAAAGAACATTTCAACTTCTTAACTTTGAAACCATAAAATACTCGTTTTATTGAAAAACCAAACTTTGGTTGCGAGTTTGTAATTCATTGTGTTGTGAGTTAAAATCAATATTATTGGTTTATACATCCATAAACTAATTTTTAATTACTGTTTTTTTTTATGTATTAGTCTCATTTTTTATTATGTATGCGTCCATACGGATATCCTATTGGCCAGTGATGCTAAATTAAACCCTTTTCACCATTTTATACATTTATAGTCTATATAAAGGAGTATTCAATAATTTACGGAATAATTACGTCCCTTTAAAAGACTTAAGAAATTCCTTTCAGTAAGGTTCTTATACATCATAAATTACATATGATCACATAATGAGTACTTACATGTAGTCTGCAAAACGGTTGTAAAGCTGAACTAGTTTAATTAGTTGTAGCTGAGTTTTATTTGTAGAGCGAACGATTAAACCCACTATCGGGACCAGCTGATTTGGAAAACAGTAACGTGGGGTAGCAGCGTTGTGGGGATCATTTCATTTCATTAGCGTTATCGGAAACATTGCTTGAGGTAACACAATAGCCGCATTAGATTTAACTTGACTTGTAATTTTATCACAGCCTTTATTGTAATTTTTTTACTAAGCTTTCATTGCGTGATCGTTCTCTTACTGTGGTAAAAAATAAAAATAAATTACAATAAACCAACCCGCAGTATTCTTGGTAAAATAAGCGCTAGTGTTCTGTTTAACTTGTTAACGAAGGCAAATATGTGTTAAGGTTTTGTACATACTCGAAATCAAGTGTGTAATTTTTAGCTATGGTGGTTAATAAACACGATACGCATCGTGTTTAGTGTCAAGTCATAACTCAAACATTACTAGTTGTACCGTATTGACTTCTATCTGTAAGCTTTGCTATGTCAATGTGGAAAGCGCTGGTCAAAGTTGTAAATGAATTGTAAGTACAATCTCGAATAGAATAACTGACAGGCTTCAGCAATGGGAGGTTAAACTTTAGGGATTGAACAATCATTTTTGTGTTTTCTTTTAATAATACAACCACAGCAACGTGTACATTTCCATATAAATCTTTACATCGTCACGTCCATAAGTAAACTTCATATTAATGAAGTAGCCGGCAATTTTCTCTTCTTTTCATGGGATTTTACTACAATATCACTTCAAACAATTACTTTGGTTTCGCTAAACTTAAATTTAATATTTGAAAGCAGTTTATATTGTTCCTAGTCACTGTATATCAGTTACTAGTTACAGTTGCAGGTGATCGCTCACAGTTCGACGTTACAGATGTGACTAGGGGTATCATTCATCATCGGCAAGAACGTCACCTTCCCCATTTTTCGCCAATTGAGTACTCACTTTGAAGATAAATGTACCTGATAATTTATTATACTTATTTAATACGCAAGCAGGTTTTTTGTGACAATTACTCCTCCAAAACGACTGAATCGATTTACATGTTTTTGGTGTCATTGGAAAGAGTGTAACGTGAAGTTGTGCAGGAAACTTCCTTTTTAGGGAAATTATTAGAGAGTGAGGCCCTGGGGCCTTTTTAAGTTTCGTATTTCGCCATAAGATTAACATGGGAAACAAATATTGTTATGAAACTTCAGCTGTTGTCAGAAATTAAAAGTGAGAAGAAGAACATATGGTAATTGTAAACAGTCAATAAGTTTGCTAATTTAACAGTTTGCTACAAACATTTACTGACTTTAAATGAAATAATTACTATTTGAATTTGGGTTGGCGTAAATATTCCAATGGAAAAAAGCGAGAGAGCCTGGATAAATTGATATACTAAAAGTAAAACTGAATTAGCACTGTAATGCATTTCTTAGTAATCATTGAAAGAACCAATTTGCAAACTATGGAAACATAGGAAATTCATAGAGCACCACCAAGGAGAAGAAATAGAAATAATGTTTTTTTTAGAATTTATAATCGTTATTATGGACAACCTAATGCGGCTATGAGTAAGGCTATTAGTAGAAAACACTAAAAAACAAGACCAGCTTTTGAAAAATGATAGGATGTTTACAATAAATGTTGATTATATCGATCTGTTATGTGTCTGTTATGTACATCTTGAGTATTTCCATAATATTTGGGACGAATCTTTTAAAGTCATCAGAAATTGTGACTGTTATTCGTTTTAAATTAACGCCTGTAATACTTAGCAATTGCTCGAATTCGAGCAACACAGGGACACTAGTAATTGAATAAATACATAATAAGTACTATTATTCAATCCTCTAAAAGAACTTAAAAAATATACCATACGCTTATTTTCAGGATGCATCTTCTTATACATTTTCCACGTCGTGTATTCTGCAGCAATACAACTACATCTTGGAGAAACTCTTGCTTTACTTTGGAACCAGTACTTATATTTTTTCCATTCATGGTTAATGCACAAACATAACGTCGTTTTGATTTTTGTTCTAGTAAGATTAAACCTATAATTTTGAACAATAGTTGTTTTAGCTTTACTTGTTCTTCACATAGGGTCAAAGACTATGTAATGGGAAGAGAATTTAACCATGTTTTGTATTTATAAATTACTAAGGTGAATAGTGAACAAACACCTATTATTGCATCTTGGTTTGTTTTAGATGGCGAAAAAAATTAATAGCTATGAAAGTAACTTTCAGACAAAGGGGGAAAAGTCAACTAGATAAATGATTCGCCATTCTACCCTAACGACCAATGTCTCGCTTCCTTAACATAACCTTCCCACTGAAAATACTGTGTATAATTTAGGGTATGTATCATTCAAAAAGTAAGAAGTTACATGACATGAGTCATTGAGTATTATTAAATTTTGATTTTATCACTTATTTTTACGAAATTACTCGTAGTTTTTGTTTTTTTAGCTTTGAAAATTGATTGTCCATCCTCAGTTAAAGCTATGTTTAATTTGTTTAGCAGTTTAAAGCTACATGTTTAAATGTTCTCAGTTCTATTTTGACTCCAGTTTACTTATTAATGTAATTAATTAAATTCCATTCACCATTGAAAAGTAAACAAGTCTTCAATTTGCTTAAAGTGTCCATATCAGCTTCAATCAATAACATAAGATGGGTTCTGTTTAAGGGAAGTAAACTTCTTGGCACATTGTATATATATAATGGTTATGTTTTAATCTTCGTTATTTTTTTCAGGAATCGCAATCAAATGTGGGGAGAATCACTTCAACATGGTGCTTAGATGGTAAGCTATACGAGGAATTGTCTTAGCTTCTAAATATTATTTTCAGTAATACTTACTGATATTCTAATGATATACTAAATGTATTGTTGGTCTTTTTAATACTGTTTGTAGGAGTTGTAAATTTATTTTTATAATTTATAAATATATCTACTAAGGAAAAGATGTAATCAAAGTTTTTTTAAGATATAGTAGTTGCGGATTTTGTTTGAATAAACTTAGTTTTTTTGGAATTTGTAAAGAATCTGTAAAAAGAATTAATATAACTTGAAAATAGAATGTGTGGATGAAACGACAATTATTGTTAGAGGTAAAGTTCTTAGACACTAAAATAGGAGTTTTACGTAAGAATTTAAGCATCTTGCTACATTACTTAACAACGTTACGTTTAACAAAACTGCAACCTGTACCATGGATGACGCCTGAGATACGCTCTTTGATGGCCAGACGTGACTGTCTTTATCGGAGAGCAAGACGATCCCAAGATCAAAATGAATTTGATGAATATCGCCGTCTACGTAATAGAGTCAAACAACTGCTGAGAAACTCAAAATTAAGATACATTCACAAGCTTTTTGGAGATAAAAATCAGTCTTCCAGAGTTTTATGGCGCAATGTAAAAAGTCTTGGGCTTGGGAAACAAACTGATACACAACCAGTTAATATATCTCTTAACGAATTGAATACCTTTTTTTCCTCGTATAGTCAAAATATCAACCAACAACCAGTTAATAACTACGTTAATGAGTTGGTTAACTCATTGGACCAAGGGTTGGAATATCCAATGTTCTCTTTTAAACCTGTTATACAATCTGATGTTTTAAAGGCTATTCGCCGGATTCGTAGCAATGCAGTTGGATCTGACGGTATACCAATACGATTCATCAAAGATATGCTTTTTGCCATTCTTCCAACTATTACGCATATTTTCAATACGTCTTTGAGACAAAGATCATTTCCTTCATCTTGGAAGTCTGCCCTCATTCGCCCATTAAATAAGATCGCAGCACCATTATCCTGTCAGGATTTCAGGCCGATCAGTATTTTGCCCGCTCTATCTAAAGGCCTAGAAAGAATCGTACACTGTCAAATTACTGACTTTTTGACTGAAAATAACATCCTCTCTCACTATCAATCTGGTTTTCGCAAAGGTCACAGTACAGAAACAGCAATTCTTCGAGTTACAGATGACATTAGACTCTCAATGGAACGTCGACAGGGTACGATTCTTACCTTATTTGATTTTTCTAAAGCATTCGATTGTGTAAATCACAGACTATTATTGCAAAAATTAAGGGCCATAGGATTTTCTGATAGTGTTCTTGAATGGTTAAGATCATATCTGTCAGATAGGCGGCAGTGTGTTCAGGTTGATGACTTGAGATCAGACTGGGAGATAGTTACATGTGGTGTGCCTCAAGGGTCAATCCTTGGGCCTTTACTTTTTGTACTGTACATCAATGACATTGGCACAACTCTCATTCACTGTAAATACCACATGTACGCTGACGACCTACAAATTTACTCTCACTTCAACGCCGATGACATTAACTACTGTGTTTCAAACATTAACGAAGACATTGGACGAATCATTGAATGGACCGATAAACATGGACTTAAAATCAATCATAACAAAACAAAACCCATCATAATCTGCCATCAACGACTGCAAGGCTCAATTGACTTTCATGCTACAAATCCAATCACTGTTAACGGTACTGAACTACCATACTGTGACAAAGTGAAAAACTTGGGACTGACTCTCAACACTACACTCACTTGGGGAGATGCAGTGATTGACATTCGTAAAAAGGTGTTCTCATCAATACATTCATTAAAGAGATTGCAAACTTTCTTGCCATTGCACATAAAGCTCCACCTTGTCAAATCACTCGTATTTCCCCACTTCACTTACTGCAACTCTGTGATCAATGACATGACTGTAAGTCTTGCTGGTGTGCTGCAACGCTCGCAAAATTATTGCTTGCGATTTGCATTTGATTTAAGACGCTTTGAACACATTACACCTTTCTACATTGAATCAAAAATATTAAAGTTGAACGATCAGAGGCTACTTAAAATCACCATGTTAGCATTCTCAATTTTAAAAAATAGATTGCCAAAATATTTTGAAGGGGACTTTAGCTTTGTAGCCGAAGGTAGCTTGAGGAGTTCACGCACTGCATCTTTCACGTTACGCATACCTCATCATAGGAGTACAGCATATGACAGGGCCTTTGTTGTAACTGCCTGCCGTCTTTGGAACAACTTACCTTTATCCATCAAAATGCTTGATAGTCGTCCTCGGTTCGTGGCGGCACTGAAAAAAATGTACTTTGAGCGTATGGCCTCGGCTGGTGCGTCCTAGGACTGTTTTGGCACTTGCGTAATTGCTGACTGAGTGTGTGAGACTTTTTTGTTGTTGTTAGGCATTTTGTTTTCGTTTTATCAAAAAAGTATTGTTGTTGTGTAAATAATGTGTTAAATTGTATTTTCTATTTTCTATTTATAATTATGTATGCAGGTTAAGTGTAAGAAAGGGCCATGTGGCCCTAACTTTGCCTGTTGAAATAAAGGATTTTCATTTCATTTCATTTCATTTCATTTCATTTCATTTCATTTCATTACTTAACTAAAGTTTCGAAGAAAATGTTGAAAATGTAATTTACGTTTTAAAAGTCTTTAAATGTTAGCATAAAAAGTGTTCCAATTTAGATTAATAAATTAGAAAATTTGAGTAAAGTCAGGACTATAAAAAGAGAAACCTAGCAATCAAAGGAGCGTTTTTGATTAAGAATCTAGATGGAAGTCTTTCTGTTTCTTTCTATTTGGATCTCTGATACGACCTAGATTAATCCCGAGTTGGTTTTCTGGTTGCGGTTTGCGAGTGATACGCACCTCACGAGGAGTTTATTGGAAAATACGTTGTACCTATTGGTGTTTTACTAAGATCCATATCCCACCAACATAATATTCAGTGTTGCTCAACAAATGTTGAAATACTTTAGTATTCGACGTCTATCTGCCAGTTTAACTTAGACGCAGCTAAAAAATATATACTTCAGATGATATTATGTTACAATATATTACAAGCTATATTCAAAAAATATAAGGCAATAACTAATTATTTTAAACGAATCTTTGGACATGGAAACATTTTTTAGCATCCAACCCAGTCCTTAGTACAACTCAGTCATCTTGAGAATTAATCATCATGTATTATATTTTTTCTAGAGGTCAATTATTGGTAACTACCTTGTAACATCAATTATCTATTTGTTTTAATAAGTATAACTGCCACGATACAACAACATCCTAATAAACCTCTCAACAATTGATATTATTCTTCACTTTTATGGAAAATTACTGGTACATAAATGTGTCTTTAGGTAGAGGTGAAATGAAATGAAATGAAATGAAATGAAATGAAATAATATTTTATTTCCCATAAATTATATACATATAATTACATTGTATTTTTTTACTTAAATATAATACAGCAAACATTACTAACTGGATAACAAAAGAAAAATTATATTCTGTAGAAATAAAACGAAAAATGTGCAAAAAAAATACCTTCTATAACAAAGGAAAAAGTCTACATAGGCAGGGCCTGTGCGTAGACTCGAATTGCGAAAAAGGTTAATTTAGATGGGAGGTAGAAAAATGTATAGGAAAACAAAAAATAATTCGTATAATTCTAAATTTAAAAAAATTTTCTTGCTTGAAACTGAATGTTTAGTTTTCTTCTGTGAATTAAATTGACGATAAAAAACTCTTTGTACAAAACTGAGAAAATTTATAAAAATCTGGTGAAGATTGGAGAGGAGAGGTGGAGTGTGGTGTGTTGGTCAGTCAGTGAAGGTGTTGTATCAGTGATTGTGTAGGGTCAACGGTCAGGTCCGCCCAACGCGATAACGGCCTCGGTGTCCTCTGCACTCAATCCTACAAGCCACGCTACTACATGCTTCTTAAATAGAGAGAGAGAGGGTGAATTTAAAATGTTGACATTTTGATATCTGTTACACATGTTACGATAAATGATTTGGGTTAAGTGAAAGCAATTCGTATGTGAAAATGATTTTAAAGTTTGTGGAACATTTATACCAACATTTCGAGAAAAGCGCGTATTGTGGGGATGAGTAATTTTTATAAAAATAAAGTTTTTGTACATGTGAACTAAAATAAATTTTAAAAATAACTGTCTGAATGTCAAAACTCCCGTTTCTACAAAAAGGTCGTCAGTTGAATATCTAAAGTGTTTTTTAAAAGCAACTTTACGTATTGTTTTCTGTACAACAAAAACAGGTTGCAAGATAGTTTTGTAAGCACCACCAAAAGCAATAATTCCAAAAGATAACAAAGATTGAACATATGCATAGTATGCTATTTTAGTTTCTTGCTCTTCGAGTATATCACTAAGTTGCCTAAATGCATAAATATATTTGCGTAATTTATTTGTTAGATATTCAACATGTTCCGACCACTTCATCTTTGAATCAAAAACAATACCAAGATATTTGTATGAATCAACTTTTTCAATTTTGCTACAAGAACAAGAGTTATTGGAATGATTTCCACAGACATGAATAGATAGGTTTTCAAGTTTGTATTCGGTTATCTTACGTAATGAAATTGGCATGAATTTGGTTTTAGATATATTAAGAGACAATACATTTTGGTCAAGCCATTTTTTTAGCAAACAGAGGTCTGATTCAGCCTTGTTTTTAACCTCCTCCCAGGATGATCTGGTTACAAATATTAGAGTATCATCAGCAAATAATGTTAATTTTCCTTCTGTTTGAATTTTAGAAATATTATTAATATAAAGGAGGAACAAAACAGGACCAAGGGTCGAACCCTGGACCACACCATACTCCACTGGCAAAACATCGCTTGACACTTCACCAAGTGCGACAGTTTGTAGCCTATCAGAGAGGTAGCTGCTGAACCAAGCGAGCGAGGTGCCGCGCACCCCTACAAGCTCAAGTTTACGCAACAAT